CTGTCCCTTGTGCCCTTCCTCTCTCCCTGTTTACTTCCTTTCTCCATCCTTCCTTCTCCCTCCCTCCGCATCTCTGTCTCTCACTCTGCATTTTCTCATTTTTTTTTTCTCTGTAGACTAGCATTTTCTGTTCCTCAGTCCATGGGATGAGAAATGGCTCCTTCACAGGTCAAGTTAACATGTCACGTTCAGGAACTGGCTTGCTGGTTCCAATTCCATATTCTTGGGGCCTCGGGAGTGACCTGGCAGCATAACTGAGAGTGGGACAGGCATGGACGTGTGAATACTACTTTTCCTCGTTTTTGCCCCTCCTGGGCTCTAGGGTCGAAATTTATAATGGGTGTGGTCTGACATTAACACCTGTCACATTGAGACCTTGGTATACTCTGATAATTACATAGCCACCTCCTTCCACTGCTACAGGGAAAGGATAAAATTTAATTTGTTCATTCGGTGAACATGTCTTGAGCCCTGCTTTGTATCAAGCTCATAGAAAACATACTTGCCAAAAAGAATTTAGCATCTGGTAGGGAGGCAGCCCTGAATTTAAGCAAGCAAATAAAAATATACGAATTACAAATGTGTTAAGTTCTGTAAAGTGAAAAAGCTATGATAGAAAATAACGCAAGATAGGAGAAATATTTGCTTTAGAAAGGCCACTCTGAGGAGGTGAGATTTTAAGCTAATACGTGAAGAGTGAGATGGAACTAGGATTTATTTTCAGGGATCTTTAAAAAAAAATTAATTTGTGAGCAATGGGAGGATGACATGGGAGGAAGCAGGGGCGAGAATGTGACTCGTAGGTCAAGGATATGAGATTTAATACTAAGTGTAGCCATAGTAAAAAATCATTAGCCATATAATCCATTAAGAAGTATTTATCTAGCCTCTAATTTATGCCAGACTTCAGTCTGGTTTGCTGAAGAGGATTAAAAAATAAGTCAAATTTATAATCCTCCTCAGATTTTGATTATAGCCTAGCCTGAGAAACGAGGCTGATTGAGGAGGTTCAAGTCCCAGTTAGGAGACAGGAGACAGCCCACACTGGCCTTGTACCCAATGACCTTGGGCTCAGTTGTCAGACAGAATCCCAGAGCCACAGAGCCATGAAGGTTTGTTAAACTGCTCAGAAGGGGCCAAGTAAGAACCTGTCATGTGTCAGAGGTGGGCTATCATGTAGCTCAGCACTCACTATATCCTACAACCTTCTATGCCTTTTAAAATATCTGCTCAGTGTAATCCTCACAGTAACCCTCTGAGGTAAGAATTATTATTATCCTCATTGCACAGATGAGTAAAGTGAGACACAAATATAAAATGGCTTGCCCAAGGCCACACGACAGGTAAGGTAAAACCAGAACTTGAGTGCAAGGTAGGGTGGTACTGAGTCTGCTCTTATCTACCATGCAGTGAAGTCTACCGTCTGTCAGCCTTGGCAGAGACAGAGGACTATGGTTAGGCACAAGGTTGCAAAGGGAGTCATTGAGAAAGTCTTGGTTTTAAAAAAATGTGATTAGGTATGCTGCAGGGTGTGTTGAACTGGCGGTGAAAGCCGGATATACAAGTGGAAATATTGTAGATGTGGGCCTGCAACCAGAATCTTGGCTGATGCTTAAATATCTATGCACTGGCTTTTGAGGAATAGGTGAGAACTGCTTTGAATGCTTGCCAGTGCCTCTTTCTTTCACTTTCTGTTAGGATGTTAATTGTTCTAAATTCTCTTTTCTTATTATTGGCTCCATTCTCTAATGTACTATTATATAGTTTAGGATAAAACAAATTATATCAAAACTCATATTAATAAAATAATAGAAAAAATGCAAGATGTTTATTGGAAAGCATTTTATACAATGAAGAGTTTACTTTTGGGCAATTTTGTATTATTTTTTTGAACAACATTTTATTAGAGTTGCAAAGGTACTCCTTGGACCTCTTTGGGGTCATACCCTCCTTCCTAGTTGACTGTTTTTGTTGTTGACTCTCAACAATTTTATTATATTCCTGAAGTTATGTAAATTTCATAATTTTAGGGATATATTTAAAGGAACATTCTGCACTGGAAGTGATGTATTATGGTGTATTAATCAGGGTCCAATGAGAGAGAAATGACCAGTAATTTGAACAGAGAAAATTTAACGTAAAGAATTACTATCAGAAAGAATTTGGATACCAGGGATTGATTAATAAGAACTAAAGAACACAGGAAAAGCAGATTTAAAGAGCAAGCACTACCCATAGAGCTGAGATAGGCTGCCTGAGGAAAAGGTTTCCCAGAGAGCTAAGATCCTGACCTTACTGGAGAGAGGTCAAAGCTGTGCTCAATGGATAGTGGAGAAGCTGTGGTGTGGTGTGGTGTGGTAAATCTTACCAGAAATATGCCCTCTATGTTACTAGAGAAAGCTATTTACAGCGAGATGTCTCCCTAGAGGCACTCTGTTACAAAACCATCCCAGGGCACGCTGCTGTCTGCTAGGTGCTGCTGGCTGTTGTGCACTGCAGGAGCCTGGTCCTGGGGAAGCCACCCACTCTGCTGCAATAGAGCATCCCAGAACTGAAAAGAAAAAGGCTTTTCTTCTACCAGATCTTTCCAGAAACTTTTATCCACATAGATTAACATCACAGCAGCTGTGAAAAGAAAAATATTTTATTTCCATAGCAGGCAGCGAAAGGTGGATTTGGAACCGAGTCAATAAATTAACAACTGGCACACATGGGAATCCCTGTCTATTCACAGCCAGGGTTTTGACCAAGGGTTTTCAAAAGCTGTTGTTCTGAACTTATTAGAAAATCAACCTATTATTTTCAATGCGTAATTTACTTATTTGTCTCTGGTAATTTTTAAAGAAATTGACTTACTGTAACTACTCCTTATATCACATTTTTGCTTCAACCAGTTCTTTGAAACAAAATAACCTATTTTTTGAGTATTTTATAATTAATCATGATGGAAACTATTGTTCATAAAATCATGTGTCCAATATTTTGTTAGAATGGGAGATTTTCAGTTTGGAGTGTTACTTTAAATATTATAACAAATTAGTTTTGTTATAGCTTATGTGTCACTTTAAATATTATAACAAATTAGTTTTCTGATGTTTCTTGCATCTGCACTAGCATTAAATTTTAAGTAAGTTCCAAGGGGAACAGGATTGAGTTTTTTACCGTATGTTGCCAACATCCCACACAGTGAATAGCATGTAGATGCTGAGCTGATTAGTTATCTGTGCACGAATGAAAATGGATTCCAGCTGCTCAAGATTGTACGTAAACTATTTTTGTTACTGAAAAATACAAGGAATATAAGAAATAGTTGTGTTTGTAGTAGACATTAGGTACAGAATAGGATATATGAATATATAAAACATAGTATAAGGAACATATGTATTAAAATATACCAAATTATTTCCCAAGATTCCCAGTATCTTTTAAAAATATCGTAGTTTGAGGAAACACAGAAAACCTAGGAGAAGAAAATATCCATGATGATACCATATTCAAAGAGAAATTCCTCATAAAGGCAGTGAATTTTACCAGATGTCTCGGTTACAAGTTCTGGAATGTGGTTATATTCAGAAAGTGATAATAACTATTCTTTGGTTTGAGAATCTCTTCTTATTGTCATCCTTGAGAGAAAAGATTTTCTTGATGTTGCTGCCAACTTCATTTATTAAAGACATCAATCTTGAAAGAAAAGGAAGCCTAGTCAAACAACATTTATTATGTTTTATATGTTAAAGATGTTAATGTTATAATGGAAAAATATTGTTAAGAAACTAGAGTCTAAATTTTTGCCCAGTATATTAGCATAGTAGTTGTTACTGATTCAGAATCTGAAGCACCAACTAATGGTAGTTTAGTTGCTGTAAAGGAAAGATATAAATGAGAAGAGGGTAAATAAGGATTAGAGTCAGAAGCTTCAAATCTCTCCACCTGTTTAAAGACATAATGGTGTAAAATCATTTCTTACTGTAATTATTTTAAATTGATAATTTTCTTAATTTTATCACTAAGAACGGTCATTTTCTTTCTTAGCAAATAGTACAACTATGTCTTTTTCATTGGTAGGAAAAGTATAATATGAAATAAAGTCAGATTGTAGGTCAAGTTAATTTTCCTTAGCTTCTTTAGTTAGTAGGATATATTTTACATATTTAATATGGTATGAAGAATGTATATGAATTCGTAACTGATATGAGATAATGGTCATGGTTAATTCACATGTATTGAGATTTCACTGAGTATATGACTTTGTATTTCATAAAAACACTAACTTATTGTGAATTGTTTTCTGATACTTTTGCTGTTATATACTTGTTTCTTTTAACTTTAAATTAAACTTGCCAGCACCTTGAAATTCTGAAACTGCAAGAATAGCAAAGAAGACGGCAGAAGAATTTTTTTTCCCTTCTAATGTAAGAAATAAAGGCCAAAGGTTTTAACGGCTACAATACCAGCAATAGCAACAACAAAACGCTAGAGTGGCCTGCATTCATGAAGCTGTGAAAGTACTTGAGTGAGGGAGGTAGTGATACAAAACGTCTGTATTCTTACTTGCCCTATCCACTTAAATGATATATTACAAGTAGAAACCTTTTAAGCCAGAAACTCAAGCAAAGCACTGTGGATTCTCTGTTGTTTGAGAGTTGGAACACTAGGGGACAGCACTAAAATATTGCATAGTTTTTTGTCTTTGATCACTTACATACTGTATAATAAGTACAAGATTTTACTGTTAAAGACTATTGAATGCCCTGTTGATTTTAGTGGATGAGAAAGCACAAAGAGAAAGATGAGCTTTTCAAGTCCATAATTTCAGCCTTTGGTGAGACCATGATTTGAATAATTTAGAGCAAGCCCTCAGGCTGTTTTTTGGTTGCAAGAAGATAGTGAGGCATGATAACTTACAGAACTGTGATTTTTCTGTTAAAGGTGTTTTGTTCTTTTCACTCTTTTGGGGTAAATATTTCTCATAAATATTTATTTCTAATCTTGTTTTTCAGGTACTTTGGAAAGACATGAAACAGGAGAAAGAGCAAGAATTATTCTTAATTGTGATGATTCACAGTTTCTAAAGCCTGAATCTGTACTTTCAGTTGCCTCAGAGACACCCAAGCACAAAAGTGTAGAACCAAGATCCTCCAGCTCCTACCAGTTTGGGCCAGTACCTTGCCCTGGTCTGCAGGTGGAGCCTTCATGTAAGGTAGGTTCAAATCAAGCTGCTGCTTACAAATATCATTAACCCTGACTAAGAAGTAGTATGCCTTCATAAACACATGACAATTAACCCCAGCACAAAAACTAGAACTTAGATATGATCACCTCTGTCAGACATATCTACCAAGTGATCTTGGGTGAATCAGGATAAATTTTTGAGTGATTATTATTCTTGGTATAACATTCTTTTTGATAAAATAGGTTTTAGCTTATCAAAATTGAGCCAATTTTGTAATAACTTTTGAACTCTAGATAGTTTTCCATGGAGAGAAAGAAAAAAACCTCCATTCTGTAGTCTGGATCTTTTTTTTTTTTTTTTAGTTAAGAGTATTTGGTCTTTTTTTCTAATGAGAATTACAAATAAACCAAAAATGTATCAGAAAAACTGGATTATCATATGGACAATTCTTTAGATATACTCAGCATCTGAAGGCTTCCAAGCCCCAGTTTATACACAGTGATGGAGTTTACATTTATTTTCATAAACCAAGTCAACCAGCTTCACAGAAATTTGGATAAGCTTTATTATTTTTCAGTTCCAATTATGATATAGTAATTTCATTTGATTTCTTTAAGGGACTCTTCCATCTTTTTGTCATCTATACCTCCAAGTTATCTCTTCATCTTGTTATAACTATGCAATTTTTATGCATATATTTACTGTAGGATTTTTTCAAGTAAAACATTTTCATAATGTTACCTATTTTTAATGGCTAAATCATGCTGTATATATTGTGTATATACTATTACTGATATAAATTATTTTTCTGTGGCTTAATATTTGGATTACATTTTATGTTTCACTTTTATGAATAACAGCTAAAGCTTTTTTCATATTTGATATTATTTAATAGGATATATTTCCAGAAGTGGGATTTCTAAGTCAAATTTTAGCTGATTTTAAATTACATATTTTTAACATTTTGCATATTTTGAAGATATGAAGACTGATAAAATACCATTAATAAGGAGTTTAAATAAAACTTCATTTTATCTCATGTGTACGTATATAGTTAGAAGCAAAGAAATGTGTCATCTTCAAGAAAGACCAGTTTGTGCCTCAGAATTGCAGGGTTGGGATGGGCCACCAGCATACTGTCTTTAGCTTTTTAGGTTTAGTGACTTGATTTAGATTTTACCAATGAGGCCAAGGTTTGTCAACCCTTTGACAACTGAGTCACACTAACCAAACACCCAAGATCCAAATGTATAAACTAGAATGATAATCATTTATTAAAACTGTTTTATATGTTCTCAAGAAGTCATGTTTTATAAAGACAGTTATAACATTCACAATTGAATATGAAAGTCATGAGACAGGAAATTGAACCACACTTATGTATTTTAAGACTGGAATAAATAAAGCCCAGTGAGTGAGCCCAGCTGACTGCCATGCATTCCCATCTTAATATGGCTTTATTGCTGTCTATTCATAATAGAATGTACATCTTATAGTGGGAATTATATGCTAGAATAGTAGATAAGAACTTGGAGATGTGTCTTGACTCATGCATGTCAGATGTCTAGGGTCTGCAGGAGGAAATCTCATTCATCAAGTGCCTACTTTACTAGTTTAATTCCCAGAAGGTAAACTGATTGCTATTTCTTTCAGTTTCTTGGAGGACCTCAGAGCTACCCTTTAGGTAGTGATAATAGTATAAATAGATTTCATTTTTTTATATAATTTTGTTTCTTTCTTGACTCTAGGAAGCAATAAAATGCCAGGGTCTTGTTTTCCTACTCTTAGGCTGATTTCCACTTTATTTCTTAGCTGCTGCCCTTTACCTTAGATGACTACAGTTTCCAACCTTCACTCTCTACAGAGTCAGAGAATTGAATTAGGACTATCACCTCCTTTGTTCTATATGCTATTCTTCTAATATTATTGAGCTTACTGTTAACTAGAGCTTTTTTATTTGTGCTTCTCTTAATTTATATCTTCTCCAATTATATACTTCATATCTTCATCCTCTTGGATTTAAGCCATTGAACTTGTTTTAACTTCATCTTATTTATAAATTTGATAAGTATGAGATTTCAATATTGTTTATAAATTCTCCATTTTCCTTACTATTAACATAGTAAAATGTTTTGTGAGTTTTCACCAGAAAAAAATCTGTTTTAAAAAGAGGATTTAAATCATACTCACTTTAGAGGTAGCAGTAATAAGGAACAATAAACCTGTGGACTTTAGAACTAAGGTTACTCTGTTTTAGAATTTTTTGGTGTGGATTTTAGTGAGACACAAATGAAATATTTTTGAATGGTAGAATGCACTGTTTAAATAGAAGAATAGCATGTAAGGTCTGTGCAGTGAGCTCTGTGTTCGGCAATATTTGGAATTTATTAGAATGCTCTATTCGCATTTTTTCCTTGCATTTAAAGAGTGCATATAGATTTGGGGAAAGGTTTTAAAGATAACAACAACTACAATAAAACAAAAAAAATGAGTCCAATTTGAAATATTAGATGAGTTGAATTTGTGCAGCTAGACAAAGAAAAATCTTTAAGGTAAGAGAGGGTCAGGGTCTTAAAAGATTTAAAGGAATACAATATCATATTAGTGATGGGGAACAGCTTTTCTCAGATTCTGCTGAGGATAAAGCAAGATAAAAACTATTTAAATTGCAGTGGGAAGTAATTAGCTTCAAAGTAAGAAATCAACAAATTTACATGGCAGAAATCTTTGTAGCTTCATTACATTTTAAAGAGAGAAGGCCTATTTTATCTGTTGCCTGTTGGTTTTAAATTATTTTTCTGCACTTCTTGTCTGTAAAATGAGTAAAAGGATAAACTGGGTTATATTAACTGCCACAATTTAGATCCATTGTAGTGTCCTAGGAATGTCTTTTTAAAAACAGATTGTCTATTAAAAGGGTCTCCAACAATTCCCCATGGTTGTTTATTTAGAGCTACACTGTTTAATATGGTAGCCATTAACCACGTATAGCTACTGGGCCCTTGAAATTTGGCTAGCACTGCACCTTAAAATGATATTTTGGACATATAAGGTTAAATAAAATATATTTTTAAAATCAATTTCATCCACATTTTATTTTATTTTTTAATGTGGCTACTACGCAGTTTAATATTACATATATGGTGGTCATTTTATTTGTATTGGACAATGTTGAACTAGACCAGGGATAAGCACACTTTTTTATAAAGGACCATATGGTAAATATTTTAGGCTTTGCAGGCCAGACTTTTGCTGTTGTAACTATTCAACTCTGCTGTTGGAACGTAGAAGCCACCACAGACAATTCTTAAACAAATGAGTGCAGCTGTGTTCCAATAAAACTTTATTTACAAAAACAGGCAGTGAACCAGATTTGATGCTCACTGACCACAGTTTGCCAGTTTCTGATATAGAGAGTCCTCTCTGGACTTGGAGATCAATTAGTACTAGGAGGAACTGGCAAAATAGCCAACACCTCTCTTCTCCCTAGATATTTGAATTTTTAATAAAACAATGTATCCCAACTCCTTCAGCACTATGTGGAATATAATCCAAAAGGCGTTGTATCAGTCTGTTTTCTGACAGAATTCATGAAATGCTTATGTTTGTAAATCTGCTTTTTGTAGAAAATAAATGTGGACATTATAGTTCTTAATCCAAGCAAGATTTTTAAATGGGATTTTCTTTAATTAATACACTTATATGTATACCTTTATCTAAACATATAAAATTGATTATAAAGAATGCATTTACATTTACTTACATTCCAATTGAGCTTTCCAGAAATATATTTGTATATTTTTAACCTTTAGTTGACCTTAATATGATGTCTGTTTGGTGCCGTTTGTTGAAAAATCTTATTAGAGCTTTATCTAGCTACCTCTCATAAAACAGATGGTGCATTGGTAGGCCACCAATAGAAAACTGGACCACACTACTACTTATTATTTTATCAGAATGAAACATTAGTTCTTTCATATTGTATGACCAAAAACATAACCAAAATAAAACGAGAGTAGTTTCTAAATGGTAAGATTTCTAAATGTCACCTGCAAATTTACATATATAAATACGAAATAATAATTCATTGTGGCAATATTGCGTGTTGCAAATTAACTCCATTTTTATTTAACTATATTTTATTATCAAAATTGAATCACTATATGAAAGAACAAACTATTTGAAAACAATCGTGCTGTGTAGCAGTAAATTCTCAGTATAGAATAATAATTTTCACTTTCTTGATCTATAGTGAATTTTTAGTATATTCTTTTTAATGAACTAAACTGCATATAACTTTTTTTAATATAGGAAATATTTTCCATTGATTTTGTATAATTTTAAAATAAAATAGAGCTTTATTATTAGTCATGCAAGCCCTTCATGAAAATACAGGAATTTCTCTCTGTAAACATTGGAGTATGGCTTTTGTTTTATGTATTTTGATTTTGTGAATCCCAACTTAAAACTGTAGTGCCTAAATGGTGACACCCTTCCTGGTAAGATAGAATAGAGATCCACACAATAGTGGAGAAATATACAAAGCAATTTGGTTTTTGAACACATGTAAAGTGATGCAAATTTTTGACAGAGTATAACCATTTCTCATAAGTACTATATGTATTAATTATATATTTTTTTAACTATTGTAAAGTTAATTAAAAATTACTGTACTACTTAAGACTTTTTATAGCTGCTTTTTTAGAGCCGCTTTTTTTTTATAGCTGTTTTTAAAAAGTTTAAACTTCGCTTTTCTCACTTTGTGGTATGAGTTTAAACTTTTTTGGCACAAAGTTTACCTTTATGTTGAGGAAAGCTGTGAAAAGCGTATCACAGCTTTGTTTCAAAATTAATTTAGGAGGTCTCCAAGTCACTGTGAAAAGTAGGAAATGCACCATTAAATTACTCCAGCTGTCCTCTCACACACAGAGGCAACCTTGAGTTTCCTCACAGGACTTCAAAGCCTTGCTTGTATCTAAACATTGGTTGGCCATGTAAATCAGAGGCACAAAGGGAGAATGCTCGTA